ATGGAAGTGTAGAGACGGTGGTCGTATGGCTTGGTCGTTGAATTCTTCTTTGTCTTATAAAACACCCCAAGGGCGATGTCGTTCTTCATTTCTCGTTTTCACTTATTGGCATGAAGTTGTTTGCTGCTCTCGTCCACGCCGCCGCCGCCGCGTCCCAAGTCGAGGTAGACAAACTCGCGGTGGTGTTTGACAGCCTCGCGCCCATCGATGCCGGGGCCAAGGGCTCCCCCATCTCCAAAGGCAAAAGCGTGGCGGTTCAATTCCCCACCTTCCCGGCGTCAGATTTGGAATGTTTCGACGCTGCAGTGACCCTTGAATATGTCAACTTTACCGTCAACACGCTCAACATTGCCACCGACGAGTCGCTGTGGTTGCAAGCTGAATTGTGCCCTTCCGCCAACGGTAACCAATCCCTCCCACTTATACAGTCATCCCCTATAGCTCCGCCTTTCAAACCAATGCATATTCACGAGTTTTTCCTTCTAGGCTTGCCCCACTGCACCAAGTCCGACACCCCCGAGCGCATCCCCATCCAAACCTTCGATGAACAGGTCAAGTTCCAATGGTACCCACCGCCCAATTTTGTCCTTGACCCCGCCACCACGTACTGGTTCACGGTGCACTCGAACGGCGAAACCAAGGACAAGTTGCCCATCTGGTTGGACGGCGCCAAGACGTTCTCGACCGCGAACGACCCTAGGAAGGAGGTGCTAGTCGCGTACACCGAGTCCGAAGGCGGCAATTGGGGCGTGGCATTCCCCGTCGAGAACCGCCTTGTGCCGTCGCTCCAAGTATATTCTAGCTAAACTACTAACTACTTGCGCATGTGGATGCGTGTTGTGTGTCAGCTTTGAGCCGCTTGGTTTGGGTACTCAATAAATACGGGAAGCAGTGTACTGTTGCCGCCAGCCGAGAAAGTGGGGTGGGGGGTAAAACGAAGGCTTGTCGGGCCAATAATAGACTGCGACTTGTAGTCATTAGCTACTGTCGGATGGCTCAAGTCGAGTTTGGTGTCGGATTGTGTCTTTGCCAATAATCAAGGTTTTGGCTACGAAGAATGTACACTCAAGTTTACCTTGGAGAATACTCACGTGCCACTCATTGCGAAGAATCGAAAAAATAGTTAATGCTTTGTGTTATGTGGGGGCGTATTTTGCTACCAATTACTGGGTGGTCCGAGGCTGCTTGGCATCTGCGGTGGTGGAACTAGTCGTAGCGATTTTGTACTTGGCCAATATGGACTGCAGCCTGTCGCTCGAGTATTGTCACGACGGGTCAGTTGGCGGATTGCTGTTGTTGGACGTGTGATGTGGTTGAGCGCTCGGAACGGCAGCGGGCGTTGGAAAGGCCACTCCGTCCGCGTCGATTTTCCCTGACTTGTTGAGTAAATAGTCTCGTCTTGACACCGTCGGCACACCACCATTGCTTTGGATCGAAAGGGTTGGTACCTACCTCAAGTTGTCGTACAGAACATCCTGTCTGTTTAATCGAGTATTGTATACCGGTATTTGTGTATGAATATTTCTAGATACCAGATATGCAGTACATATATACAGTACCGGTATGCACTGTAGTAACTTATGGTGCATTTCATCTAAAGTCTACATACAGATCGGCCATCCTCAGGAGGAGACGTTTTAGTTTAAACGCCTCGGTTCTTTCAGTTAAACCCACGTAATGTTGACGTTAAATAATTATTACTTACGTTTTTTATCTCTCCATATATTTCCAAACAAAAAGGCTGGTTGGTTTAAATTCTATTACTCGATCAATTTTTCACCAATCGAAATTTTGAACCGTAACTTCTGTTGGTTTTGACCAGTTCTATCGTTATTACGGCTATTTTCCTAAAAAATATCAATACAAATGTGGAATAGCTGTCGAAAGACAAGGCATTTTTTTGTAGTCTTTAGTTGAAATGTACTCGGAGTACTGTGCCATAGGGAGGAATTGTAACCGGTGGTGGAGTTTCGAGATCGTTGAATTGGGTGGCAATGGGCTCGTTGGTGGACGACGACATGACACCTTTGATTTTCGACGGATGTGGCATTTTCCCCTTGGACTTGTTGGTCCTACCTAGTACGTTCGTTATGCGGCTGGTGATTTCGTGGCCCTGTGACCCTAACGCGTTTTGGTTTGTCGCCAGTGACCAACGGCATTAAACCTTGCGCGTAGCATGCAACCGCCTTGCGTTCGCTGCTTAGAAAACTCTTCTTGTGAGCGATAGCCTTGGGTTTAGTGTCGGCATCAAAGTCTTGAAGACAATACCAGATGTCGGTAATTGTATTACCTACCTGCAAGCCAGGAAGCCTCGGGTAGGTTTTCATTTTCGGAATCGGCACGTCAGTGTGCTGGTGCAATGATGGAGTGGGAGATCCATTTCTTGTGGGGCTTTGGAATGGGCTGGGGGTGGTTGTCCACATTTTTGATAATCGCCATAGTTTCCAGTGCCCGGAACTTGTCGGTTTCTTTCTCTCGCCGCGCCTCCAGCTCCTGGCACATCTTTCGCGCAGGTTGGCCATTTGTTTCCTTGCTTTGGCATCTCGCTTTTGCTGGCTCTTCAGCGACGCGCAGCTTTTGCTGCTAGGCCACCAGCGACTGCTGTTGCTGCACCAGCATGCGCACTTGTAGATCGAGCACGCTTTCCTTGGCTTTGAGGGTTTGGTACGATTCGTCCGCTTCCAGTCGGGCCACCACCACGTCCAACTCTGCTGCTACGAATTTTGACCACATCAAGACCAACAATTGTAAAGTGCAATGTATTGTGAATTCGCTATAAACTTCTCCAATCAATATTGAATCACC